AGAGACGGGGTTTCACCATGTTGACCAGGATGGTCTCGATCTCTTGACCTCGTGATCCACCCGCCTCGGCCTCCCAAAGTGCTGGGATTACAGGCTTGAGCCACCGCGCCCGGCTAAAACCGTGTCTCTACTAAAAATACAAAAATTAGCTGGACATGATAGTGGGTGCCTATAATCCCACCTACTTGGGAGGCTGAGGCAGGAGAATTGCTTGAAGCCGGGAAGTGGAGGCTGCAGTGAGCCAGGATCGCACCACCTCACTCCAGCCTGGAGACAGAGCCAGAGGCCATCTGAAATAAAAGGCCATCCTGCAGCCAGATAAAGTGGTTCAGAGGGTGCTGGAGCACTGGAACCTGTGTTCTGTGGGCTGGGACCGGGCTACCCACCCAGCGCCTGTGGAGGAGGCCACCACCTTGGAAGCTCTGAGCCCTGTGGTTAGAGCCTTTCATGGAGGTTCCATTGCATAGGGTTTTTTTTTTTTTTTTTTGAGACAGCGTCTCGCTCTGTCGCCCAAGTTGGAGTGCAGTGGCGTGATCTCGGCTCACTGCAACCTCTGCCTCCCGGGTTCAAGCAATTCTGCCTCAGCCTCTGAGTAGCTGGGATTATAGGTGTGAGCCACCACGCCGGCTAATTTTTTGTATTTTTAGTAGAGACGGGGTTTCACCATGTTGGCCAGACTGGTCTTGAACTCCTGACCTCAGGTGATCTGCCTGCCTTGGCCTCCCAAAGTGCTGGGATTACAGGTGTGAGCCACCTCGCCCGGCCCCCACCCTGCTTTCTGCCTTTGTGAATCTGAGGACTTGGGGACCTCCGGGGAGTGGATCACACGGGATTTGCCCTTCTGTGTGTGGTTTCTCTCATTGGCGCAATGTCCTCAAGGTGTGTCCCGCCGTGTACCACGTCCACCTCATGCCTGTTGTGGCTGGGTGGTATTCCGGCGCACGGGTGGCCATGCCGTGTCTGTCGATGGATGCTGGCTGTTTCCCCCCCGTTCAGAGTTGGGAACGGTGCTGCTGTGAGCAGTTGTGGGTGTTTTTATGTGGCCAGATGTTCTCGATTATTTTGGAAGGGGAACAAGGGGTTAAAGACAGGTGAAGGGGGGCCGGCCAGAAGTGGGGCTGCGGGCTCAATGTGGGCAGAGGAGGCAGTAGTGGTGCTCAGGGGTCAGATCTGAAGGCCCCTGCAGGGGAGGGGTCTTCAGGGAGGGGCTCGGTGGTGGAGGCGTCCCCCGCCTTAGAGACCGGCAGAGCTGCCTGGGGATGCGCCCATGTCGGGGTGGGGGCTGTGATTCCAGTCCATGCACGGACGGCCCACGCCGGGCCCCCTTCAGCACCTCCTGCTTTCTGCTTTTGAATCCTTGTCAAAGGTTCTCCCCACAGGAGACCAAGATGCGTTTTTAAATTAAGAAAGAGAAGACCCACGCACAGGCACTCTATTTCTGGAACGTGGCGTGGGAGGGAATTGGGTGTGGATGATGGCGGTGCAGGGACCCGAGGGCTGGTCCCCACCCCACCCGAGGACGCGGCCAGGAGGGCAGACGGGTGGGCGGCGGTCACAACGCCCACACGCTGGGGCTCAGCTCAGTGGGTTCATCCTCTGCCAGTCTGGGAGCCCAGGAGCGTGGGTCAAGGCAGCCCAGGGCGGCGCTCCCTCTGGAGTCCCCAGGGAGGCTCCTCCTGCCCCTCCCAGCTTCTGGGGGTTCCAGATGTCCTTGGCCTCTGGCCATGCCCTCCAGTCCCCGTGTGCATCTCCTTGCAGCTGCCCACTCTGTTTCTTTCTTTTCTTTTTTTTTTTTGGAGATGGAGTCTGGCTCTGTCACCCAGGCTGGAGTGCAGTGGTGCGATCTCAGCTCACTGCAACCTCTGCCTCCCAGGTTCAAGCGATTCTCCTGCCTCAGCCTCCTGAGTAGGTGGGATTATAGGGATGATTTTTGTATTTTTAGTAGAGACGGGGCTTCACCCTTTTGGCCAGGCTGGTCTCGAACTCCTGACCTCAGGCGATCCGCCCGCCTCGGCCTCCCAAAGTGCTGGAATTACAGGCATGAGCCACCAAGCCTGGCTTTTCTTTTTTTTTTTTTCCAGACAGGGTTTTGTTCTGTCCCCCAGGCTGGAGTGCAGTGGCATAATCTTGGCTCACTGAAGCCTTGACCTGGGCTCAAGCAGTCCTCCTGCCTCAGCCTCCCACATAGCTGGAAGTACAGTTGCTCACCACCACGTGTGGCTGATTTCCAATTTTGTAGAGATGGGGTCTTGCTTTGTTGCCCTGGCTGGGCTTAAACTCCTGCGTTCCATCGATCCTCCCTCCTTGGCCTCCCAAATGCTGGGGTGACACCGTGCCCAGCCTGTTTCTTCTTCCAAGGACCGCAGCCACTGGCTAGGGCCCGCCTTCCCCGGTGCCTTCATCCTGACTCACGGTGTCTGCACAGGCCCTGTTCATGCAGGGCCTCGAGTTCCAAGTTCGGGGCAGATGTGGACGCTGTGGTCGGGGATCCTGTGGAAGCCACTGCCTTGGTTTCTGACGTGACTCTGCGCAGTGAAGCCCTGGGCTGCCCCACCTGGGCTGAGGGCCTGCGGGGTCCGGGGGCACGTGTGGTGGGAGGAGCTGGAGGAGCTTCTCCCCGGGAGGCGGGGGCTTTCCCGGAGCTGTGTGGAGGAAGCCGGCCAGGCCTGGAGTGGGGGTGTGTGGGTGTGAGAAGCAGGCGCGGTCCGCCTGGGATCACCTGCAGCCCTGGAGGCTTCCACGCAGGGGAGGTTTTGCAGGCCCAGCGTTGCTGTGCTGGGAGCTCTGGAAGGGACGGGCGGGGAGGAGGTGACGCATGGACCCCAAAGTCTGGGGCAGGTGCTGTGCTGTGTGCAGGCCAAGTGTCCAGGAACCCCCCACCCCCGCGTCTGGGACCCCGCCCGCTGAGTGGGCACCCCTTCCGCCGAGCATGTATGAAACCCCCCCAGTCAAGTGTCTGAACCCCCCCAAGTGTCTGTGCTCTCCGCAGCTGAGTGTCTGTGCTCCCACCAAGTGTCCATGACCCCCCACACCGTGTGTGGTCTCAGCCCCCTGATAGGCCATCATGGGGCAGGCCCTGGGGACTGCACATGGACAGCACAGGGTGGCATCCTGAGCCTGGGAGCCGTGGAGTTCTCCCCGCCCCACACAAGCCTGGCCAAACGTGGGTTCTTAGCCAGCTCTGGCGGAGGCCGGGGAGGCACCAGCAGCCTCTGTACCCACCGCGCCCTCTGGCCTGTTGTGACAAGAGGCGCTGGGTGGGCCCCCCAGGCAGCCTGCGCTCCACACCTGGCAGACCCTCCGCTCTCCCAGCTGGGGCCATCCTGCTGCCTCCCAGTGCTCCTCCCATGCTCCTGCTGTTCCCTGGGCCCCCATGCCCTTCCCCACTCTCGTGGCCGGCTCAGGCGACCCTGCAGGGCTTCCTGGGTCTTGTGTTCCCAGCAAGACCACGCTCCTCTCTCTCTTCCCTTGCTCACGGGGGCTGTGCGGCCACTCCGTCCTTGCCCGTCTCCGTCAGGGAGGCCAGGCCCTGTGCCTGTAGCTCACTCCCTGGGGAAGCGTGTGCCGGTGAGGGAGTGCGTGAGCAGGACAGCGATGGAGAGTGGATGCGTGCGTGAGTGAGTGAAGGAGACTGAATGAATGAGTGAGCAGTGCCTGTGGGAACGAGTGGATACATTTATGTATAGGAATGCATGAGTGAATGAGCGAGTGAGTGTTCGATGAATGAATGAGAGTAAGGGAACGAGAGAGTGCGTGCATGCCCATGGGATGAATGAGTCAGTGAATGCATGTGTGGATGATGCATGAGAGCATGTGCATGAATGAATGAATATGAATGAATGAATGCATGCATGTGGGACTGAGTGAATGAGTGCGTGCCTGACGCCTTGAAGGACAGAGGACGGTGAGGCCCTGTGAATCGCAGGGCATGGCCCCAGCCCCACCTGGCCCATCTGTGTCGCCCTGCTGCTGTCCCAGGCCCCTTCCAGAAACCTCTGACATCTGAGGCCCCGGCACACGCCTGCTGGGGGCTGGGGGGAAGCCCTGCTGGAACGGTCACCCTGGACACCGGCCAGGCCCTCCCCGCTGTCGGGTGGCAGTCATGGGGTTAACCAGGAGCGCCTCTCTTTCACGCCAGGTTTGTGCTGGCCGTGGGCAGCGCCGTCTTTGATGCCATGTTCAACGGGGGAATGGCCACGACGTCCACGGAGATAGAGCTGCCCGACGTGGAACCTGCTGCCTTCCTCGCCCTGCTCAAGTAAGGCTTCCGGACGCTTCCTGCCGGGGCCCGAGCCCTGGGAGGGACCTCAGAGAACGCAGACCCTAGCTGACAGCTGCCCAGAGCCCTGGGTCACTGGGGAATTCTAGGACGTTCATGCACCATGAGGGGTTCCAGAGGTACCTGATTTAATTGATTATTTTATTGACACGGAGTCTCACTCTGTTGCCCAGGCTGGAGTGCAGTGGCTCGATCTCAGCTCACTGCAACCTCCACCTCCCGGGTTCAAGTGATTCTCCTTGCCTCAGCCTCCCGAGTAGCTGGGATTACAGACGTGCATCACCATGCCTGGCCCATTTTTGTATTTTTAGTAGAGACGGTGTTTCACCATGTTGGTCAGGCTGGTCTCGAACTCCCGACCTCCACCCGCCTCAGCCTCCAAAGTATTGGGATTACAGGCACGAACCACCGTGCCTGGCCCCATCTCTACTAAAAGTAAAAAAAAAAAAAATTAGCCAGGTGTGTTCGCACACACCTGTAGTCCCAGCTACTTGGGAGGCTGAGGGAGGAGGATCACTTGAGCCTGGCAGCTTGAGGCTGCAGTGAACTGTGATCACACCACTGCACTCCATTCTGGGTGATGGGGCGAGACCAGGTCTCTGTAACGTTAAGTAACAAGTGTTGGTGAGGCGGTGGCGGGATAGGAGCTGGTCCCGGTGGGCTGTAACCGCTATGGGAGGGAGTCTGGGAGTTCCTCAAAAGGCTCAGCACAGAATCTCCATGGGACTAGCAGTCCCTCTCCTGGCTCTAGATGCAAAGCACTGACAATATCGCGAGGTGTGAGGGCTCACGCCCGTCATTCCAGCACTTCGGAAGACTGAAGGAGGGAGGATTGCTTGAGCCTAGCAGTTTGAGACCAGCCTGGGTAACATGGCTAAGCCGGCGTCCCCATGAGTGTCCGCACCGTCACATTTCAGGGCTCCCTCCTGGGCAGTGTCGATGCTTGGGGTCTGATCGTTCTCTGGGGTGGGCCGTCCTGGGCACTGAGCAGCAGCGTCCCTGGCCCCCACCCACTCCATGTCAGGAGCTCCCTAAGTTATGACAACCGCAATTGTCCCCAGACATTGCCCAGTGTCCTCGGGGGGCCAGACTGTCCCACATATCCCACATATGAGATCCGCCCCCCCGTGGGTTAGGGCTTCCACGAACCCCCAAGAGACTCTGCCTCCCATGATCCTCTGCGCTGCTGAGGTCCCAGGAGGCTGCACACATTGAAATCCACACCCTGAGTGGGTAGAGAGAGAAGAGGTGAGTCCCAGGAGCTGGGGTCCCCTGGTTTATGTGTCCACACCATTGGGAGTTTATCCTGGTGTCTGGTGTGAGCAGGGAGCAGGCTTGATATTTTTCTGCACATAAGTCACTAGAGATCTTATCTCGGCCCTGTGGACACTGGGACTGGATCGTTCTCTGGGGTGGGCTGTCCTGGGCATTGCAGGGTGCTGAGCAGCATTCCTGGCCTGTACGCCCTCCGGGCCGTGAGCACCCCCAGTCCTGGCAGCCACAGACGTCCCCGGACATCACCCAGTGTCCCCTTGGGGGGCAGGACCGCCCTGGGGGAAACCTCTGCCCTGTTACAATCAGAAAACTTGAGAAACACAGGCTAGCACAGAAGGCGCCCCTTGGACCCTCTGCAGAGCGCATGAGGAGAGCCGCGGCTTCATCTGGGGAAGAGGCTGGGCGCGGTCGTTTTCAGCTTCCTCATTTCTGTCTCACTGACCGATTCAGCTCTCACCTCACTTCAACTCTTTTTTTTTTTTTTTTTTTTGAGACAGAGCCTCGCCAGGCTGCGGTGCAGTGAGTGGCGTGATCTTGGCTCACTGCAGCCTCCACCTCCCAAGTTCAAGTGATTCTGCTGCCTCAGCCTCCCGAGTAGCTGGGATTATAGGTGCCCACCACCATGCCGGGCTAATTTTATATATATATATATGATTATTTTTTTTGAGACAGAGTCTTGCTCTGTCACCAGGTGCCAGGGTGGAGTGCAGTGGCGTGATCTCAGCTCACTGCAACCTCCGCCTCCCAGGTTCAAGCAATTCTCCTGCCTCAGCCTCCTGAGTAGCTGGGACTACAGGCGTGCGCCACAAAAAAATTTTTGTATTTTTTTTTAGTAGAGATGGGGTTTCACCATGTTGGCCAGGATGGACTTGATCTCTTGACCTGTGATCCGCCCGCCTCGGCCTCCCAAAGTGCTGGGATTACAGGTGTGAGCCACTGCACCTGGCCTAATTTTTATATTTTTAGTATTGACAGGGTTTCACCATGTTGGCCAGGCTGGTCTCATTCTTTTGACCTCGTGATCCACCCACCTCTGCCTCCCAAAGTGCTGGGATTACACGTGTGAGCCACCGCGCCCGGCCTGTCCTTCTATTTTTTTTTGTTTTTGAGAGAGTCTTGCTCTATCACCAGGCTGGAGTGCAGTGGCACGATTCTGACTCACGGCAACTTCGGTTTTCCAGTTTCAATCAGTTGTCCTGCCTTAGCCTCCCGAGTAGCTCGGACTGCAAGCACGCACCACCACGCCCAGCTAATTTTTTTTGTTTTTTTAGTAGAGACGGGGTTTCACCATGTTGGCCAGGATGGTCTCGATCTCCTGACCTCGTGATCCGCCCGCCTCTGCTTCCCAAAGTGTTGGGATTACAGGCATGAGTCACTGCACCTGGCCTGTGCTTCTGTTTTTGATGAGCCCAACTTCTGATCCGTATTCTGTATGGTGTGGACCACTCCGTAGCAGGTGGTAATAACGTCCACGATTATCCATGATCCTAGCTGGCATGTTGGGTTCTGTGATCCACCCAGAAGTGGTTGAGGTTTTTGGTGGGGCCTGAGGTGTGGAACCAAGAGTTTCTCATGGAAAAGGTATCCAAGGAGGAGACACCCAGCCCCCAGTGACTTTTCCTGGGGCATCCCGGGCAGGACAAGGCTGGCAGTGTAGACGCTTCCGGGTGTGTGCTGTAGACGGGTTCAGCCTCTTGCTCGTTTTCATGGGTGACCGCATTGCCAAGTCGTGTCCCTAGGTCAGAGGTCAACCGACGGGCTAATTCTGGAAGGTTCCTCGGGGTAGCTGACGTGGAGTGTTTGGACCCTGCCGGCTTGGGGACAGGCGGCTGGGGCCGATGGTCTGAGAGGTCCCCTGACGCTCTCCCCTGGGTCCGGTCATGGCGGTCCCATCCCATGGCCCCTGCGTTGTCACTGCAGGTTTCTCTACTCGGACGAGGTGCAGATCGGCCCGGAGACAGTGATGACCACGCTATACACCGCCAAAAAGTACGCGGTGCCGGCGCTCGAGGCCCACTGCGTGGAGTTCCTGAAGAAGAACCTGCGAGCAGACAACGCCTTCATGCTGCTCACCCAGGTGGGTGGGGCAGGGGGCGGGGCCGGGCACGAGGCGGGGCCAGGTCAGGCTGGGGCGGGGCCAAGCNGGGGCCTAGGGCGGGACCAAGGCTGGGGGCGGGGCAGGGGCGGGGCCAGGAAGCAGCCGGATCCTGCGAGGTAGTAAAATGTTTTGGCTGGGTGCGGTGCCTCACGCCTGTAATCCCAGCACATTGGGAGGGCAGATCACCAGAGGTCACAGAGTTCGAGACCAGCCTGGCTAACGTAGTGAAATCCTGTCTTTACTAAAAATACAAAATTTAGCCGGGCATGGTGGAGGGTGCCTGAATTCCCAGCTACTAGGGAGGCTGAAGCAAGAGAATTGCTTGAACCTGGAAGGCAGAGGTTGCGGTGAGCTGAGATCGTGCTGCTGCACTCCAGCCTGGGCAACAGAGCAAGACTCCACAGCAAAAAAAAATAAATAAATAAAATAAACTGGGCCAGGCGCGGAGGCTCACGCTTGTAATCCCAGCACTTTGGGAGGCCGAGGTGGGTGAATCATAAGGTCAGGGGTTGGAGACCAGCCTGGCCAACATGGTGAAACCTCGTCTCTACTAAAAGTACAGAAAGTAGCTGGGCATAGTGGCAGGCACCTGTAATTCCAGCTACTTGGGAGGCTGAGGCAGGAGAATCGCTCGAACCTAGGAGGTGGAGCTTGCAGTGAGCTGAGATTTCACCATTGTACTCCAGCCTAGGTGACTGAGACTCTGTCCTAAAAAAATGTTTTGGACTTTTCTGTGATACTTTTATTATTGGCATGGCACATAGGCTAATGTCCTGCCAGTAATTTTTGGGGTCCTTTCCAACGGCTAACCCTGGAAAGGGCCACAGCACTTGGGGAGGATCACTTGAGGCCAGGAGTTTTAGACCAGCCTGGGCAACATAGGGAGACCCTTTTTTTCTACAAAAAAATGTAAAAAACCTCAGACCGGACATGGTGGTTCATGCTTGTAATCCCAGCACTTTGGGAGGCTGAGGCAGACAGATCATCAGACGTCAGGCATTCAAGACCAGCCTGGCCAACGTGGTGAAACCCTGTCTCCACTAAAAAAAAAAAAAAAAAAAATCATACATTAGCCAGCACGGTGGTTCGTGCCTGTCATCCCAGCTACTTGGGGGACTGAAGCAGGGGGACTGCCTGAACCCAGGGGGCTGAGGCTTCAGTGAGCGGAGATCACGCCACTGCTTTCCAGCCTGGTGACAGAGTGAGATGCTGTCTCTAAAAAAAGGTAAAATAATTTTTTTTTTTGAGACGGAGTTTCTCTTATTGCCCAGGCTGGAGTGCAATGGCACCATCTCGGCTCACTGCAACCTCCGCCTCCAGGGTTCAAGCGATTCTCCTGCCTCAGTTTCCTGAGTAGCTGGGATTACAGGCGCCTGCCACCACGTCCGGCTAAAAAAAAAGTAAAATTATTAAAAAAAAAAAAAAAAAAGAATTTTCCTTCTCTGAGGAAGTGTCAGGTAGACAGAGTATGTATGGCCGGGAGTCTCAGGGGACCCCAGTTGGGCTCTGCAGTCTGGGGAGGTCATGCTGGCCAGGGATGCTGAGAGGAGGGCGTGGGGCCAGGACATGTGGCAGCCCGTGGGAGCCCTGAGCTCCTGGTCGGGGGTTGGGGGCACCCAGAGGGTACAGTGGTGCTGGTCCTTTCATGGGCTTTGGGGGTCCAGAACCCTGTAAAGGACCCGGAACCTTCTCCCTCTCCATCCCGGCAGGTCAGATGCAGGGGATCCCGGACCCCCAGAGGGAGGGGTTTCTTGTTGGGGTCATCTGTAGCCACCTTGGCATAGAGGCTCCCGCCTGACCTGAGAGGACGCCGCAGCTCAATCCCCTGGGTCCATCTTGTGGCTCCCTCTGCCTCCCTGCCCCTAAGACCACCTCCAGCCCACTTGAGAGACGTCTTCAGGGTGAGGCCTGCAGAAAGGCCGGCCCAGGACCCAGCACTTTCCATCAACGAAGCCTCAGTTTCCCTAGAGCACAGGTGACATCCAGCTTCCTCACCTGTCAGGAGTCGTCTTGTAGTCTGGGAGCTTTACTGGGTTGACCCCAGCCACCTTACCTCCTGTCATTCAGGGTTCCGGGCCTGCTGCTCCCCAAGAGCAGCGACAGTGTCCCTTTTGCCTAAAGCAGCAGGGACCTGGGTGTCTGTTTCTTCCTTCCTTGACCTCTGAGGTCCTGAGAGGGAACTCCCAGACTCTCCCCCCCCAGTCAGTGGTCACAGGAGGCCTGGGCCCACGGCAGGGCCAGCTTGGTGGCTGAGCCACGGGTGGCTCCTGGCCATGCTCAGGAAGGCGCGGCGATCAGGGCTGTGTTGGAGCCGGCTCTGCGTGGGGGATCTGCTGCGGGCTGGGTGCTGATGCCCCCCAACCCCCCACTCGATGTCTCCTGCCAGGCGAGATTGTTCGATGAGCCACAGCTGGCCAGCCTGTGCCTGGAGAACATAGACAAAAACACTGCGGACGCCATCACCGCGGAGGGCTTCACTGACATCGACCTGGGTAAGGGCCCAGGAGCCTGGGTGTGGGGATCCCAGCCGGGCCTCGGCGGGGGGGGGGTCTGGGGAGCTTTTGGCCTGGGGGCCCCTGGGGGAGCTGCCCAGGTGAGCTGGGTCCTCACCACTTGCAGCGGGGCGGGAGCTGGGGCCTTGGCAGGAGGGCTTGGCTGGAAGGCCGCAGACCAGATGCCACCATCCCAGCTGGTGGTGACCATCTCGTCCTCTGATGGTCCATGGTTTTGACTTTGTTGCTGAACAGCTTTCGTCAGAGCTACTCAGCTCCGTCCTTGGGGCTTAAAAACCACCACAGCCTAGGAAACTGAAGGGGTGTGGTCATGTGTCGATAAAGCTTTATTTACACATACAATTACAGGGCCGGGTTTGGGCCATAGGCCGCAGTTGCCGGTGCAGCTGCAACTGCTGGTTCTTGTCAGTCTCCCTGCCTCCTGCAGGGTGGGCACGCGCGCGTCCTGTTCACACAGCCCCTTCCCCACCCCGCAGACACGCTGGTGGCCGTCCTGGAGCGCGACACTCTGGGCATCCGTGAAGTGCGGCTGTTCAACGCCGTTGTCCGCTGGTCTGAGGCCGAGTGTCAGCGGCAGCAGCTGCAGGTGACGCCCGAGAACCGGCGGAAGGTTCTGGGCAAGGCCTTGGGCCTCATCCGCTTTCCACTGATGACCATCGAGGAGTTCGCTGCAGGTAACAGAGCTCAGGGGCCCACGGGCGGGCTTGGGAGAGCAGTGACACCTGGTGGCCCTGCTGGGAACACAGACAGGCTCCTTGGTGCCCAGGAGAGCAGCCTCCGAGTTAGCTGCAGAAAACCTGGCAGATGCCTGAGAGTATAGTGATGGGAAGAAACCTGACTTGTGTGGGCGTCCACAGGGCCATCTGTTAGCCCCGGCCCGGCTGTGTCCCCGCTGTGTGCACTGCCAGCGCCCTGCCTCCGTGTCTGTCCAGCTGTGTTTTGGCGGCTTCTGCCCAGGAGGGAAGGGACTCCCCTGCTCGTGCCACCTGCCGGTTCAGGTGCCAGTGTCCGAGATGAGCCCATGAAGGCTCCGGCATGGCTAGGGCAGCTGTGGTGCACCCATGGGTGGACCTCGAGGTCCCCTGCTGCAGGGCCTGGGCTCCAGCGTGACAGGGACAGCCCTAACGATGGCTCCTGCCCTCATGTGGCTGTTCCCTTCCTGGGGCCATCCAGCTCTGGAGGAAAACAGGCCTGGAAAGTTCCAGAAGGGGCTGGGAGACAGTCCTGTGGCCGATGCACTCACTGTCTGTTCTTTCCGAGGTCCACACAGCCTCTGCTGTCCCCTGGCTGAGGTCACCAGATTTATCAACAGGGTCTCCGTGGCCCAGGCTGGAGTGCAGTGGTGCAGTCACAGCTCACTGCAGCCTCGACCTCCTGGGCTCAAGGGACCCTCCTGCGTCACACCCTAGCAGGGACTACAGGCGCCACCACTGCCGGCTTATGTTTGTATTTTTGTAGGGAGAGTGTCTTGCTTGGGCTGGTCACGAACTGGGCTCCAGCCATCCTCCCACCTCACCCTCCTCAAGTGCTGGGATTACAGGCGTGAGCGACCACACCTGGCCAGATACATCCTTTTGAAAACTGCAGTTGTTGGCTGGGCGTGCTCACTCACACCTGGCGAGCTGGCCATCGCCCCTGGGGTGTGCGTGCTTTGGGAAGTGGGTGCTCAGGGCCTACTGTGGAGAGGAAGCCCTGGGCCACTTCTAGAAGCTGGGGCTGTGGCCTGGGAGGTGCAGGCCTGGTGCAGAGGTACAGTGCCCCTCCTGGCTGATGGCCCTTAGGAAACAGGTAGTGGGGACCCCCACACCCACCGTGCAGTGACAGGCATTTCCTGCAGCAGGGCCAGACCCGAGACTTCGCCCCTGAGTGAGCGTATCTGTCAGCCTCTGGTCTGTGCCCTGGGACCCCTCCCCGAAAGCCCGGGAGGACTCAGCGGGGCCACAGCTGGTGGCAGTTTCCCCAGGGGGGCTGCCTGGGTCTCTGCACCTTGGAAGTCGGACACGGACATCTTAGGGGGAAGGATCGTGTCCTCCTGCGCATTTGGGGTCTGGGGCGCAGCCCGACCCTCCCCCCCACACCGTCCCTGTGCCACAGGCCCTGCACAGTCAGGCATTTTGGTGGACCGCGAGGTGGTCAGCCTTTTCCTGCACTTCACCGTCAACCCTAAGCCGCGAGTGGAGTTCATCGACCGGCCGCGCTGCTGCCTGCGCGGGAAGGAGTGCAGCATCAACCGTTTCCAGCAGGTGGAGAGCCGCTGGGGCTACAGTGGGACCAGCGACCGCATCAGGTGGGGCTCGGGGTCCAGTGTGGGGGGACTCGGGGACGACGGGGCTGGCATTGAGGGGGAGGCTGGGCCTGGGGTGGAAGGACTCAGGGATGATGGGGCTTGGCATTGAGGGGGAGGCTGGGCCTGGGGTGGGAGGACTTGGGGATGATGGGGCCTGGCATTGGGGGGGGGAGACTGGGCCTGGGGTGGGAGGACTCAGGGATGATGGGGGCCTGGCCTGGGAGGGAGGCTGGGCATGGGAGGACTCAGGGATAATAGGGGCCTGGCACTGCGGGGGAGGCTGGGCCTGGGGCTGGGAGGACTCAAGGGATGATGGGGGCCTGGCATTGTGGGGGAGGCTGGGCCTGGGGCTGGGAGGACTCAAGGGATGATGGGGGCCTGGCATTGTGAGGGAGGCTGGGCCTGGGGCTGGGAGGACTCAGGAATGATGGGCCTGGCATTGCGGGGGAGGCTGGGCCTGGGGTGGGAGGACTCAGGGATGATGGGGGCCTAGACTGGGAGGGAGGCTGGGCAAGGGAGGACTCAGGAATGATGGGGGCCTGGTACTGCGGGGGAGGCTGGGCCTGGGGTGGGAGCACTCAGGGATGATGGTGGCCTGGCATTGTGGGGGAGGCTGGGGCTGGGAGGACTCAGGGATGATGGGCCTGGCATTGCGGGGGAGGCTGGGCCTGGGGTGGGAGGACTTGGGGATGATGGGACTTGGCATTGCGGGGGAGGCTGGGCATGGGGCTGGGAGGACTCAGGGATGATGGGGGCCTGGCCTGGGAGGGAGGCTGGGCAAGGGAGGACTCAGGAATGATGGGGGCCTGGCATTGCGGGGGAGGCTGGGCATGGGGCTGGGAGGACTCAGGGATGATAGGGGCCTGGCACTGGCGGGGAGGCTGGGCTTGGGAGTGGGAGGACTCGGGGATGATGGGGGCCTGGGGTGGGAGGACTCAGAGATGATGGGGGTCTGGCCTGGGAGGGAGGCTGGGCATGGGAGGACTCAGGGATGATTGATAGGGGCCTGGCACTGCGGGGGAGGCTGGGCATGGGGCTGGGAGGACTCAGGGATGATGGGGGCCTGGCCTGGGAGGGAGGCTGGGCATGGGAGGACTCAGGGATGATAGGGGCCTGGCATTGTGGGGGAGGCTGGGCATGGGAGTGGGAGGACTCGGGGATGATGGGGGTGCAGTGGTGGGCTGGCGCCAGCTCCCCCAGGACTGTCTCTGGATGTCCACATGGTCTCGTTATCTGCCACGCAGGTTCTCAGTCAACAAGCGTATCTTCGTGGTGGGGTTTGGGCTGTATGGATCCATCCATGGGCCTACCGACTACCAAGTGAACATCCAGGTACCAGCCTCAGGCCTTGCCCCACAGCCCCAGGCCCCACTCCCCCCCATGTACTCCCCCATCCTCCGTGGAACCCTGGCCGACCCCCAGCCCTGGTCCCTGCGCTGCCCACCCCGGGCAGGTGGGCTGGGCCTTGTGGGGTCCCTGCCGGTGCTCCCAGGCCTGAGCCTCCCCGTCCCCCAGATCATCCACACGGACAGCAACACTGTCCTGGGCCAGAACGACACGGGCTTCAGCTGCGACGGCTCGGCCAGCACCTTCCGAGTCATGTTTAAGGAGCCGGTGGAAGTGCTGCCCAACGTGAACTACACGGCCTGCGCCACGCTCAAGGTGTGCCTCGGGGTGGGGCACAGCAGACACCCTCCAGAGGCAGCTGCCCTGGCCTAGTTGGGGCCTTGCCCTGTCCACATCTGGGGCAGCCCAGCTGGGTGGTCCTTGAGCTCAGTGTACCCCCACCCCCCACAGGGCCCGGACTCCCACTACGGCACCAAAGGCCTGCGTAAGGTGACACACGAGTCGCCCACCACTGGCGCCAAGACATGCTTCACCTTCTGCTACGCGGCCGGGAACAACAATGGGACGTCCGTGGAGGACGGCCAGATCCCCGAGGTCATCTTCTACACCTAGGCCGCCCACACGGTCCTTCCTCCACGGGGGCAGCTTCGGCCCCAGGGCTCAGCCGCTGCTGGGCCGCCCTGCGTGGGGCAGAGCCCCGTGTCCCCCCGGCCACTGTCCACTCCACGCCACCTTTCTCAGCATCAGGAAGGGGCTTCCCTGTGTTCACCACAATGAGTGCAGCTGCTGTCAGGGCAGCCGGGGAGGCGGCGCGGCCAGTGGCCAGGCCCTGTGGAGACAATCCCTCAGGACTGGGGACAGGGCCGGCCTGGGCCAGGCCCCACGGGCCTGCAGCTCAGGGCACCTGCCCAAGTCGCCTGACCGCGCTGTGCGGCAGGCCTTCCCCGATTCCCTTCACTGCACATTACAATGCATCTGCGATTCCCGTTTCCCTGCTGGGGGCCGGCAACTTGGGTGGCGCCGCTCCTAGAGCCACAGGTTCCAGACCTGGCATTCATTTTGTTCCTCTCTGTTCCTGGGGACACTGGGGCCCCACCTGTCCATGCGCCCAGGGCCACCCGACCCCAGCCTGCAGGGCGATGCCACTGCCTGGAGCTGGCCTGAGTTCTGAGAGGCTTCAGGGTGGGGTGGCCCCTGCCGGCTGAGCCCTGGCCCAGGTGGGCAGTAGTTTGCGGCTCCCATCCTCATCCACCTGATGGGCGCAGCCCGGGGCCACCTCTGTCCAGCCTCCCTGGACAGGGCCCCAAGCGGGACCCAGACCCTGTGCCCCAGAGCTCCCCTGCTGCAGGATGGGGCCCTGGCCGGCCCCACTGTGTCCAGAGCCACTGCTCGCCTGTACATACCATTGCCCCAACCTGCCAGGTGCCGAGGGAGCCCCCCCAGGTCCTGGGGACATGCTCTCCCCACCCCAGGCCATGCCCCCACAAACCCCTGCGTGTTTCTGCCCTGTGACTCCTGGAACCTGCCTCCTCCCCAAAGCCATGGGGGGTGGGTGTCCTCCTCAGACCACGTCCCCAGATGATTTTTTTAAATAAACAAACGCACCTGGCTTGTGTGCATGCTGCTTGGCTCCCCTTCACTCTCCGGCCTGCCGTGGGGGCCACAGTGGGCTGAGGACGTCCTGAGCCCCGAGTCTGGTCTGCCAGTGCCGTGAGACCCCCCTCCTTAACCCGCAGGTAAGCCCGGGAGATCGACAATGTGGTGACAGCACCACTGCCCTCCCACCTGGGCAACAGCAAGACCCTGACTCAGCACTCCCCCGCCCCAAACCCAAACAGTGGAAGTTTGTGGGGAGGTCCTGCTGGCTGCTGCGGACCACGGACATGAGGGATGGAGAGGAAGTAGGGAGTGTCAGTCTGGCCTTGATGGCACCAACATAAAGACCCACGCTATCAGCTGCATCCTCAGGTGCACACGTGCAGGGCAAGACATCAGGAAACCTCACAGCAAGGCCATGCACGGCGGCTGACACCTGTAAACCCCAGCTCCTTGGGAGGCTGAGGAAGGCGCATCACCTGAGGTCAGGAGTTCAAGACCAGCCTGACCAACATGGTGAAATCCCGTCTCTACTAAAGATACAAAAATTAGCCAGGCATGGTGGCACATGTCTATAATCCCAGCTACTTAGGAGGCTGAGGCAGGAGAATCGCTTGAACCTGAGAGGTGGAAGTTGCAGTGAGCCGAGATTGTGCCACTGAACTCCAGCCAGAGCGACAGACCAAGATTCTGTAAAAAAAACAACAAAAAAACCCCCAGCAAACAGTAGCTCCCGAAGACTGAGCGGATTTGCACCGCCTGTGGTGCCGGGAGCAGGCCGTGGAGATGGAGCCCTGTGGAGGCGGGGGCCTTGAACACCTGGGGCCGGGCATGGTGGCTCACACGGGCAACTCCAGCACTTTTCGGGCTTGAGGCAGGACTGCTTGGGGCCAGGAGTTCAAGACCAGCCTGGGCAACACAGCGAGACCTCATCTCTACAAAAACACATTGAAAGGAAACACCCTGGGTTCCTAATTAAGACACCAGCAGGGCCATACACCAGCAGCTAGGGCAGCGCCCCTGGGGAGGACAGAGCTGAAGCAAGCCCTCGACCACTCCACAGACAAAACTCTGCTAGGGTCGCTGTGGGCTGCTGCTACTCTGGCCCTGGCCCAAAGAAAACACAGCCCTGTGAAGACCACACCCGCATGAGCTCCCACCACCTGTCATTCACAACATCCAGCATCCATTCCAAACTTACAGGGCGGGCGCGGTGGCTCACACCTGTCATCCCAGCACTTTGGGAGAACAAGGTGGGCAGATCATGAGGTCAGAAGATCGACACCATCCTGGCCAATACGGCGAAACCCTGTCTCTACAAAAAAATAGAAACATGAGCCAGGCGTGGTGGCGGGCGCCTGCAGTCCCAGCTACTCAGGAGGCTGAGGCAGGAGAATCGTTGGAACGGGGGAGGCGGGGCAGTGTGCCGAGATCGTACCCATGCTCTCCAGCCTGGGCAACAAGAGCGAAACTCCGTCTAAAACAAAAGAAAAATACCCAAGGTGAAGCACAAGAGTGAAAACAATGGAAAAACAGAACAGAATGATGTGATCAAGTCAAAGGGTATAGCGTATGTGTAAACACGTGCAGTCCCAGAAGGAGACAAGACAGAATGAGATTCAAGGTACCGCTGAAGAGGCGATAGCCAAGAATTTTCCAAAATGAATGAAAGACGTTGACCCACACATCTTAAGAAACAAAACTCAGCCGGGCGCGGTGGCTCACGCCTGTAATCCCAGCACTTTGGGAGGCCGAGGCGGGTGGATCACGAGGTCAAGAGATCGAGACCATCCTGGTCAACACGGTGAAACCCCGTCTCT